AAAACATCTTCTCATCTTCGCATCTTCTCATCTTCGCATCTTCTCATCTTCACATCTTCTCATCTTCGCGTCTTCTCATCTTCACATCTTCTCATCTTCAAATCTTCACATCCCAACATCTTCACATCTGCTCATCTTCACATCTGCTCATCTTCACATCTGCTCACCTTCACATCTGCTCATCTTCACATCTGCTCATCTTCACATCTGCTCATTTTCACATCTGCTCATCTTCAAATCTGCTTATCTTCACATCTGCTCATAATCACATCTACTCATCTTCACATCCTCTCATCCTCACATCTTCCCATCTTCACATCCTCACATCTTCACATCCTCCCATCTTCACATCCTCACATCTTCACATCTTCTCATCTTCAAATATTCACATCTTCACATCCTCACATCTTCACATCCTCACATCTTCACACCCTCCCATCTTCACATCCTCACATCTTCACATCTTCTCATCTTCAAATATTCACATCTTCACATCCTCTCATCTTCACATCCTCACATCTTCACAGCTGCTCAATCTTCTCATCTTCACATCTTCACATCCTCTCACTTCACATCCTCACATCTTCACACCCTCCCATCTTCACATCTTCTCATCTTCACATCTGCTCATCTTCACATCTGCTCATCTTCACATCTGCTCATCTTCACATCTTCTCATCCTCACATCTGCTCATCTTCACATCCTCACATCCTCACATCTTCTCCTCTTGTCCTCTTGCCCTCTTGCCCTCTCCTTCTTTTCTATTTCTCTCTTGAAGGCGGGGGGCAGGGGCAGTGCCAACGAGATGGCACGAAACGCAACCCTTTCGCACGAAATGAGGTTCGATCGCCAAAAACTGAGGTAAAATTGTGATTTCAACTTGTCCCACGCAACCTTTTCGCACGAAATGAGGTTCGATCGCCAAAAACTGAGGTAAAATTGCGATTTCAAGGGGTCCGGCGCAGCCCTTTCGCACGAAATGAGGTTCGATCGCCAAAAACTGAGGTAAAATTGCGATTCAAGTCGTCCGGCGAAACCCTTTCGCACGAAATGAGGTTCGATCGCCAAAAACTGCGGTAAAATTGCGATTTCCGGGTTCCCGTCGCAACCCTTTCGCACGAAATGAGGTTCGATCGCCAAAAACTGAGGAAAAACTGCGATTTGAACTTGTCCCGCGCAACCCTTTCGCACGAAATGAGGTTCGATCGCCAAAAACTGAGGTAAAATTGCGATTTCAACTTGTCCCGTGCAACCCTTTCGCA